CAGCACCATTTAGAATTGTCTGTCTTTTTTTCATTGATTTATATCATTGATCTGTCATATACTAGGTTTCTTCATAGATATGGGACCATTTCTGGGTTTTCTGTTCTGTTCCCTTGTTTTATTTGTTTATTCCTGTGCCGGTATCACATTGTCTTAAATACTATGGAATTATGATAAGCCTTCCATCTGCCTGAAATGCTATTCTCCTAAAGATATACATGACTAAATCCCTAATTTTTTTCTGGTCTCTGCCTCATGATCACATTCTTAGCCAGTCTTTCCTGGCCATCCTTTCTAAAATTTCAATGCCTCCTCCAGAAACTTTACATCCTCCTTCTCTAGTTAATTTTTTCTGCTACATAGTTATTATCTAACATAGTAATGTATGTTTTTATCTTGTTTATTGTCTCTCTTTCCCACTAGAATATAAGGTTTATGAGGGTAGGAATTTTTGACTCTTTTGTCATTCTTGTATCCACAGCATAAAAAACATTGCCTGGCACTTAGTATGTGCATAATTACTATTTCTGGAACAAATGAAATAATTCTGATATATGGAAGGGTAGCCCTCCATCCTGGCACTACCCTTTAAGAGTATTCTTTCTCTCTAGTTTACTTGCTCTAACAACTAATAAAAGCAATCTAAAATAAGGAGAGAAACAGTGAGGTGCTTCTTTAGGTTTCTTTCCTGGCCAACTCCGATAGATGGGCAGTGAAATGGGGAGGAGAGAGGGGCCAGAGGTCGGCCAACTCAACATTAGCTTTTATGGGTCAGCTATTCTTCTGGAAATAACTCCTGCTCTTTGCTTTTCATGGCAAGCAGAGCTGGCAGGACATAGAGCTTACAGCGTGCTTACTTGGTAGAGAAGTTTACCACGCCTTTGGTTTTTAAGGTGACACACCCTGAACAGGGAAGGAGGGAACAATCACTTTGATTTACCAAGCGTGGCAACTAAAATCTCAGCTGTAAGTGTGACATAGTACAGGACAGAGGTCCTGGGGCCGTGGAGTCATCTAAGGGTGAATGCCCCATGGGGCAGTACGTTTGGGGCTGGGTAATGCAAGGGCAGGCACTGAATTGTGCAGTGATGATTCATGGAAATTCTGCCAGAGAAGGTACTCTGTGCTTTATTCCAGGCTAAACTGGGGAGCCAAGTCATTCTGGAAGGAATGTGTATGAAGTTTTCAGATGAGGACTTGAAGTTTTATAGGTTGGAGTCACATTTGATTCAAACCATCTGTTTAATGGGAAGCTGAACCCAGCACTTTTTTCATACATCTTTCCCAGTATTCATCAGTTCAGTCCATGGAGTGCCAGGCATTGCGGTTATGATAATGAGCAACACAGCTGTCCGTTTTTTAGATGTGTATGGTTCAGTAGAAGTAAAAATTAGGTGTTTATATGTGTTTTCCTCCCTCTTATTGTGAGGTCAATGTGTATAATTTATAAAAAATTTTAAAAATCTGTGTTGCCCGGGCTGAGCATTGTGTCAATCCATTTTTGTTGATGAAATGAATACATGAAAGAACTCCCAGTACTTTATTCAACATGGCTACTGAAATGTACATTATTGTGCATCATTGCTACAGTGATATGCTGATTTGTATTGTAATTGCCTCTGGGTACGAAAAATATTCTTCACAGTGAGGCAGTGATCAAAATTGTGGCATTAGAAAACAATAAAGATGATGGAATAGGCCGAGAGTGGTGGCTCACACCTGTAATCGTAGCACTCTGGGAGGCTGAGGTGGGGAGGATAGGTCAAGGTCAGGAGTTCAAGACGAGCCTGAGCAAGAGTTAGACTCCGTCTCTACTAAAAATAGAAAGAAATTAGCTGGACAACTAAAAATATACAGAAAAAACTAGCTGGGCATGGTGGCACATGCCTGTAGTACCATCTACTCGGGAGGCTGAGGCAGGAGGATTGCTTGAGCCCAGGAGTTTGAGGTTGCTGTGAGCTAGGCTTACACCACGGCAACAGAGTGAGACTCTGTCTCAAAACACAAACAAACAAACAAAAAAAGATGCTGGAATAGCTGACCAACACAGGCTATTTTGTACCCTGAGGCTTAAAATAGATTTTTAATATGATGAAAAGACAGGGTCGGGCGAGGTGGCTCACACCTGTAATCCTAGCACTCTGGAGTCCGAGGAGAGTGGATTGCTCGAGGTCAGGAGTTTGAAACCAGCCTGAGCAAGAGTGAGACCCCGCTCTCTACTATAAATAGAAAGAAATTAAGGTCAACTAAAAAAAAAATATATATATAAAATTAGCCGGGCATGCCTGTAGTCCAGCTACTCTGGAGGCTGAGGCAAGAGGATCGCTGAGCCAGCAGTTTGAGGTTGCTGTGAGCTAAGCTGATGCCACGGCACTCTAGCCTGGGCAACTGAGCAAGACTCTATCTCAAAAAAAAAAAAAAATGATGAAAAGACAACTATTATGCGACAAGGTTAATAAGATATTGGTAATTTAAACTTGGACATATTTTTCTAGTTTTTTTTTAGCTAGTCATAAAAATGACATTATTTCCTTCATCTTTTAATTTGGAAGATATTATAGTAGGCACTTTGTGGATCATAAAGACAAATAAAAGGGCCTGACCAAAAAGAGCTTAAAATCTAGTAGTGCTGGTATTCTAAACCAGCCTTGTGTGGTGACCATGAACCTCTTGAAATAGTGTACAAAATTGGTGTGCAGGTGGCATTTTTCTGAGGAGAGCTTTCATCAAAGTGTCTAATGGTTCATATTCACAAAAAATTAAGAACCTCTGTAGTAGAGGGACAAAACTAGGGAAAATTATACCATATGGGAGTCATAAAGTACCTTGGGAATTTAAATGAGGAGCAATACAGGTAGCAACGCTGAGTATTTTCATTGTAAAATCTTTGCCAATTTTGCAGGGGAAAATTCTTTGCTGCCAGAGACAAACATTTTGAAAACTTGGCTATTGATAGAATTAAACATAAATGTAATTTTATCACTAATTATTTTGTGTATAAGTTATCTGTTCCTTGTATTTTCCTGTGTTTCAGTTTGTCTTAGGATTTATTTCCCTAAAGAATTGACTTAAGTTCTTTGTATCCTGATGGCATTAATATTTTTGATGTTATATTTTTGGTAAAATTTTCCCCAGTTTGATGAATGCAAAACAATTTTGTGAATTTTTTAGATGCATAGTTTAATCTTTCTATAGTTAAGTTTTTTTTAATGTACTTATTTTTTTAGGAGACAGAGTCTCTCTTTGTCACCCAGGCTGGAGTAGAGTGGCATGATCATAGTTCACTGTAAACTTGAACCCCTGGGCTCAAGTGATCCTCCTGCCTCAGCCTCCTGAGTAGCTACAGATGCACACTGTCATAATTTTTTATATTTTTTATAGAGACAAGGTCTCTTGCTTTGTTGCCCAGGCTAGCCTCAAACTCTAGGCCTCAAGTAATCCTTCTGCTTTGACCTCCCAAAGTGCTGAGATTATAGGCAGAAGCCACCACACCCAGCCATATAGTAGTCAAATCTTTAGTTTTTTTCTTTTTTAATTTATGATATTTAAATTCTTTCCCTATGCAGAGATAAGATTTTCATATCAATATTCTTATGGTCTGTACTTCAGGTTTTTTCAGGCAGTTAACATGTTTTCAGTTGTCCTCTTTGGACCAAGTGATGTTAAATTATGTGTATGATACAAAGAGGAAGGAAATGTGGGAAAACTCTACTGTCACATTAGTGGAATTAGTAGTGAGATGATGGTAGCACTGTGGTGACAAACGTGGAGACATTTTCCGTGGGTTCGAACCTGGCTCTGACACTAAGGGACCTTTTGAAGTCACTTCTCAGTCCTTCAGTTTCCTTATCTGTAAAATAGGATTAATAATAGAATCTACCCCATGATTATGAGAATAAAATTAATTGGTATGTAAACTGCTTAAAACGGGTCCCGGTCCAAAGTTCAGTCCCAGCCACAGTTTTAAGCCCTTGCTGGGTTGGACTCTTCCGTTTCCAATGACTACCTTTAACCAGAGCCTCCTCCCTCCTTAACTTTTGTAAGCGAGACACGCCTCCTGGAGGCCACGAGCGAAGTTCATCTCCAGTTCCTGAAAACCCTACAGACACACTACACTAGGAGAGCAGGCGTGGCTCTCACGCGCCGCTGCAGAAAGTCTGCAGTCTGACATCTGGAAAGAACGCCGTCCACTCTCCCCAGCGCTTCCCCTTCTTCGACCCTACCTTCTCTCTGAGCCTGCTTTTTTTTTTTTTTTTTTTTTTAATTCCTGCAGACTTGGAGCGATTTCTGCGAGTATGCATCCATCCACTCATTCCAGTTCCTGCTACAGAGATTTTGCTGAGCACTGACTGTGTGCGAGGCGTTGCCGGGCAGGGAGGAGCGAACTGAACTCGGAACCTGCTCTCATGGGGCTTGCCCTCCAACAGGAAAATCACAGTGTGTGTTGTACGTAGATGGGCAAAATAACAACTATCTTGCAGCTCCTGTATTCTCATCTGCAAAACGGGGGTAATATGACCCTACCTTTATAGGGTCGCTGAAAGATTAAACGAGGAAAAAAAAAAAAAAAGAGCCCCTAATAGTGAACCCGGTGCAAAAAGCGTCTTAGTGCCCGTTCTGTCTCCATTCCTTCCCCACACGAAACTGATGAGCGCCAGCCCTGCGGCTTAAAGCGCCACATCATCTTCAATTTGTGGGATCTTTGTTGGCGTCCCAAACGAAGTCGTATAGGTTCGACTGTCGGTGTGTAGCGGTTTTCGCTGCTAGCGTTCCTGCATCCTGGTTTCAACCGTCAAAAGCTACCGACTTCACCTACAGGAGGTGCCGCTTAACATTTGGGGAAGAAAAACAAACACGAAAACACTCACACTCAAATTTATTTCAGCTGGTAAAGTGGCTGAAAGGCGGGGGCCCCAGACACGCCCAGAGACCATTCCCAGGGCCGGTGAACGGTGGGCGGGACGCTGGGGGGCGGGCCTTCGGCGCCGCGCACTTCCGCTTCCGGTTCCATACAAACTCTCCCGCCACCCGGGAAGGGCGGCTGTCAGCGTTTGCGTTTTCCCGCGTCTGGGTGCTTGCGAGTAAGAGAAACTCCTGGGAATTTAGGATGGAGGGCAGTCCTGGTGTGGAGGCTTGGAAGTCGAGCGGAAAGGGGGATCGCTTTGCGGGCGGTGGGAGCAGAAGGATTGCCCTGGCAGGATGGGGGTTTTGGGGAACTGGTTGGTTGTTTGGGGCAGAGACCCAGGTGTCAGGGAGGACTTGGGGGCAGATAGCTTTGCCGGAGGACTGGGGTAGGGGCGGGGATCAGAGGTGGAACATTTATAAGGCACTTGTAGTGCTCCCTGAAAGGAATTCCAGGGACTGGATCCGAAAGACAGTTGTTCTGTTTCCCAGGGTCATAAGATATAGAGTGAGTAACTGGACCCAGTCCATTAAGTTTCTCACCTGTCCAGAATCTAGGGCGCTTTCCTCTTGGTGCAGGTTTGCAGCCCATGTAAAACCCCATCTTAACTCTTGGGATTGCTGAGATCCAAAGGCCATGACACACAGGCCTATAGTGAACAGGCAACATCACCTGACTTTCATGTTGCTGAATGTTAGGACCACCACCTGCAGCTATGCTAGCAACTCCTGCAATCACAAAATGATTACAGGTGTGTTGTAGAAAATCTGGAAAATACAGAAGGAAATCATGCAGGGCTAATCACTGTCAACAGTTTGTTAACTTCATTGTTATGTTCTATGTATGTGGAATTATTTTTTTGTTTTTTTTCTGTTTTCTTTTCAATTTCATTTTTCACCATTTTAACCTTTTTATATGCTTCCCTCCAAGGTGACCAAGATGCAGTTTTCTGGAGGAAAAAGGAGGAAGCTGAGATTGGCAGGTGATCAGAGAAATGCTTCCTACCCTCATTGCCTTCAGTTTTACCTGGAACCACCTTCTGAAAACATATCTTTGACAGAGTTTGAAAACTTGGCTATTGATAGAGTTAAATGTAAGTGATATTTAAATTAGAATGTTTATATTCTTGAAAAGCTGATAATGATAAATGTATCATTATCCTTTGTGAGAGTTAAGGTAATTTATATCCTTTATTCAGTGATCCATTCAACAAATATTTATTGAGGATTTGCTGTTGAGAATCTGGTACTCATTCATTTATTAATTGTACAATGAATATTTATTGAGTGCTGCTATGTTCTAAGTGGCAAGGATTTTGAGATGAATAATGTAATTCTTCATTGAAGTTGTATTCTATTACATAGAGACAGACTTCCAAAATAATAGTCATAATTCAGTATTTTAACTGCTTTAGTATTAATAGAGGTAAATATTAGTGCTGTTGAACAAGTGGGAGTGACTAACTTAATCTGATTATGTAAGACTTAGAGGAGTTGAAATATGATCCGGACCTTGAAGGATGAGTAGAAATTTTCCAACAGAAGTGAAGGATTTTTCCAACCGGAGATGATAGCCTGTGCAAAGTCTTGGAGGCATGAAAGAGAATGTCATGTTTGAGAAAACAATGACAAGTTCAGGGTGGACGGAGAAGTGTGGATAACCAAGGACATTTTGTGCCATGCTAATGGTGTAATAATGGGGTGTAAGAAGGATATGGCCACTGTCCTGAGGGCCTACTTCTCCTCAGCGTGTTGATGGAATAAAGGAGTGAGCTAGATATGAACTGAAACAGAAATACTTGTACTGTCTTCAGAATTTATGTTCCGTGTGGGGAAATCAGAAGAAGAGGTGAGATACTGGTAATCATTCTTGGAGGAGAAGGGTAAGAACTGGTAATACAGAGAGGGAGTACTTAGTACCTGTTTGTCGATTGAAAGAGTGAAGGCCAGGAGAAAATGGTTTTAGAAAGCTTAGCAGTGTCACCTACTTCATAAAGATAAGATGATGTTGGAGACGTATCCTTGGGTTTGATACTTAAGAGGTAAATTGGTAAAGGCCTGAACTTAAGCGAGTGACAATAGTAATGATAGGAAGGGAGAGAATTGAGGGATACTGAAAAGGTATCATTGATGGGATTTGGTGACTGGGGTGGCCGAAGTTCCTGCTTGGATGATCTGGTGGATAGAAACTCTGCTGATGAGATGGGGATGCAAGAAGAAGAGTAGGAATGAGGGGAAGATAATTAGTTTGGTTTGGATACCATAATAAAGAGGTACCGGCCGGACATGGTGGCTCACGCCTGTAATCCTAGCACTCTGGGAGGCCAAGGCGGGCGGTTCAGGAGTTGAAAGCAGCCTGAGCAAGAGTGAGACCCCCGTCTCTACTATAAATAGAAAGAAATTAATTGGCCAACTAATATATATATATATATATTAAATGAGCTGGGTATGGTGGCACATGCCTGTAGTCCCAGCTACTTGGGAGGCTGAGGCAGTAGGATTGAGCCCAGGAGTTTGATATTGAGCCCAGATTGCTTAAGCCCAGGAGTTTGAGGTTGCTGTGAGCTAGGCTGATGCCACAGCACTCACTCTAGCCTGGGCAACAAAGTGAGACTCTGTCTCAAAAAAAAAAAAGGTACCTGTGGGACATGGGTTTATGTTCAGGAGACAATTTAGACGGTTTTCATTCTTGAATTCAGCAATGGCTTGAGAGAAGAATTCATCTGAGGAAAGGTTGATAAGGGGCTTTAGGAACCTTGAACAGTATGTAACACCTGTTCAGGATAGTTCATTTGGCTGGCTGGATGGCCCCGTTTCTTCACTATTGTGTCCTCTCGTTTTCAAGAAAGGAAGGGTGTTTGTTTCTTTTTTTTTCAGTGATGAGTCTCTGCTGAGTAAATGAAGCAGACTGCCTAACAGGCAGCTCCACACGAAGGTTGCAAACTAGGGATGCTTAGTTGTTTTTTCCATATTGACATGCTTTCCCATTCCTCAGCAGTAGTGGCTCAGTACAGCAATGATTATTCCTCACCTGTCCCTGATTGAGAATCTCAGGTATTGGATTACGCTGTGGGACATGGATATTTTCTGCACATAGATGGACATTATCCTCTTAAAAACATATGTAGTTTATATAATATATTTGGAGAAAATAAAATGATTATAACTTGTCATGTTCTGACAAGTTATTTATTGATAAGATAATTATTTATTATCTAAATAATTATTGAATTGCTATCCATAGATTTTGTCTCAGATTTCACTTTTTAAAATTATCTTGCATTTATACCTTTTTTCTTTTTCTTCTTTTTAGTGCTAAAATCAGTTGAAAATCTTGGTGTAAGCTATGTGAAAGGAACTGAGGAATACCAGAGTAAGTTGGAAGCTGAGATTCGAAGGCTTAAGTTTTCTTACAGAGTAAGTAAAAAAGGAAAAAAAAAATTCCTTAAGTTTGTGTATATTCATGTACTAAGTGTCAGTCATGGGAAATGTCTTATATTAGGCACAGGGCTTTTATCAAGACCAATACAGACTCTGCCTGAAGGTTCCAACAGTCTGTTAGGGGTGATTGACATGCAGTTAGATGAATATAATACAGTATGGTTTCTGAACCTTGGGACTGTCGTCATTTTGGGCAGAATAATTCCCATTGCAAGAACTGTCCTGTGCATTCTAGGATGCTCAGCAGCATCTGTGGCTTCTCCCCACTAGATATCTCTAAACATTCCCTGATGTATCCGGTGAAATACATGATGATGAATGCTGTTATTAGACGTGCGCTCTAGGAACTCTGAGAGCACATATAATTACCGAGCTCAAACTGGGGAGGTTCGGAAAGGCTTTCTGGAGGAGCTAGTGCTGGATGTGCATCTTGACATATGTGATCAGATTTTTATTTTGGGAAGATGACTGCCAACAGCACATTGACAGGGTCAGGTCTGATAGGAGGGAAAGTAGTTAGAAGCCTGGAAATGATGAGAGTCTGAATTCAATGGAAGGAGGGGACTGTCTGAAGAGATTAAAAAGGTAGAATTAGAAGTTTTAGCGACTGATTGCTGGGGGAGAAAAGAGAGAAGAGTTATATGAATGACACCCAGGTTTCTATTAATAGAGCAATTAGGTAGATGATGGTAATATTTTGAGATGTGATATATGGGAGGAGAAGCAAGTCTTAGAAGGATGTTGTAGAGTTTAGTTCTTGACATGAATTTGAGATGCCTGTGGAGATGTCTGTGGACATTTGGATATACAGATGTGGACTTAGAAGACATCTGTAGTTGGAGTGTAGATTAAGGGCAAAATTGGAATCATTAGGAGTAGGTGAGAGCACCCTAGAAAAATATTTGAATGAAAAGAGAAGATGGAGGAGGACAAGATGTAAGGAATACCACTATTTAAGATGAAGTAGAATTAGAGGAGTCTGGGAAGGAGGTTGAGAACGAGCTTTCTGAGAAGTAGGAAATGAATCAGGATATTAGTGCATAGAAGCCAAGGAAGGCTGGGGTTTCAGTAATAATGGCCATGATATTAATGATAATAGGGAATAGCAACAGCAAACATTTATATTGTGCCCTATGTACCAGATTTTGTTTGGGCACATAAGATGGCAAGCGGTGGAGGCAAGATTCGAATCGGGACATTTTGTTTTGGTGGTGTTGCTCTTAATTACAACAGTTTCGGAAGCTTAAGACAGATCATGTAAGGTGAGTTGTATGGTGCCCATTTGATTTAGCAGCTGAATGGGCCATTATAGCTAGAGGCAGAAGCCAGAACAATGACAGGGATTGGAGGAGGAAGGTGGAGAGGTGGATATAGAATATGTACTTTTAAGATGTTTCGCTGAAAAGGCAGAGGGCAGAGTATAGAGGATGTTTTAGGGAAAAGGAGGAGGTATACACACATACACAAAAATATGTGCGTGTGTGTGTATATAAATATATAAATATAAAAATATATATGAGACAGGACATAAACATGTTTATAAGCTGAACAGAAGAACTGGAATAGAAAAAAGAGGGGAGCTCGAAGATACTTTGAGAGAGCATTTGATACATCAAAGTCCTTAAGAGACAAGAGCGAATGGGTTGGAGGGTTTTGGTGCAGGGATTAGCTTTACGTATGAGGAAGGAGAGATGCTTTGTCCACAGAAGACAAAACAACACGTGGATGCAGAAGTTGGGGGTTGAAGGCAGGAGTCTGCCTGGTGACCTTTATTTTCTGTAAATTACATGAAGTCATCTATTGAGAGAGAAGGGAAAGGTGCTATGGTAGGGCCCTTGGAGCAACTGGTGAAGTCTAAACATTTTCTAAGAAGTAAGGAAGGGGATGATTATGTGTCCGATCCCAACTCTGCTGCTTACTTTGGGCAAGCTTTGTGACCCTGGACAAGTTATATAACCTCTCTGTGCCTCAGTTTCCTTGTTTTTAAAATAAGGATATGGTAATGCTATCTCATAGGGATTTTAAAACAGGATTAAATGGGATAATGTTAATGCTTTCAAAATGCTTAATACAGTGCCTGGTACCTAGTAAGTGCTCAAGACATATTTACTCTTACTATTTTGGACTTAAATAAATATTTCATGGCATTGGTAAGGGTCCAGTTGAGATTATAAGCCCTGAATTTTTATATTCCAAATTCCCACAGTTGGTATTTTTATGTCCAGAGGTTCTTAGCATTTTGGGAATAGGACTACAGAGTACAGCTGTAGATTAATTTGAAATATAGGTTTTGCCGCATGATTCAAATTAGAGAAGCCGATAGTTGATGTAAGAAGAGGTCAAAGTAGTGAGTACCCTGAATATAGGCTAGATAAGAAAGAAAGTTAAGAAAAAAGGGGTAATAGGAAGAAAACAAGGAGGTTCAAACCCAGGGGGTTTCATTGAGACCAGTTTGCTTCTTAGTTTCACCTGATTGATAGCTTAAGTATAATGATAATTATCCTGGAAAGCATATTAAGAAATGTGTTTTTGAAACTTTTACTTTACCTTTGGCGTAAGCTGACTCAGTATTTCTTTACACCTCTTGTCATTCTAATGCATTTATTTATTCATGTGTCTTTATTTTTAAGGAAAACTTAGAAGATGAATATGAACCGCGAAGAAAAGATCATATTTCTCATTTTATTTTGCGCCTAGCTTATTGCCAGTCGTGAGTATACATTTATGTGCTCAAATCTGGTGTCTTGGGTTATACATTAGTACCTGGGAAATTATTATGTTGTGATGAACATAGGAAGACTAAGAATAACATCGGGAATCAGTTGGTCATGGATTGAACACTGCTGCAGCGAATTGTTTGAAACAAGTTGTTAAAAAATACTGGAAAAAATTTCTATTGCAAAATTTTGCCTGATGACATACTTTTTAGCTTTATGGAAAGACTCTTCATTTGGGATTTAAAATTGGAAAGGATTTTATTAGGATGAAGGACTTTTGATACTTTCCTGAAAAAAAGTGATAATATTTTTAAGAAACAATGGATCAAACCTGTACTTGAATTTGGTACAGGTTTTTAGAATTTGAGATGTATGGGCCTATTAGAGCTAAGATATTTTTGTTTGGTCATTGGGTTCTTGTAAGTCAATAGTGCCACCCAGAGGGAGAAGTTGTTAGTTGCTTTTTTTTTTTAAAGCCTCGTTTTTTTCCCCCATATTAATTTTGGCCAAATAATATAGTTATAGCTGTTTCTTTTTATTAATAGGCTTATGACATTGAGAATCTTGAAATATTTACCAAGATTCAAGATAATAGTTGAGAAATTACTCACCAGCTTTGGTCCTAGAATTTTTCTTTTGTAAAAAAGCATATGTAGTTTATGTAATTTATAGAGTAAGTGAATTGCTGACAACTTGTGATAGTCACCACAAAAAATGAAATCATATTTTACATGAAGTAGGCTAATTATTTTATTATATAACAATGCCCATTATGTATCTGCTATATTAATATACTTTTATGGATTTAAAATATTGTGGTATGTACATATTAAATTTTATGAATTATAAACTGTAAAGCTATAGTCAAAGTTTCCTTTGCAAAATTCATCTGATCATAATCTATTCAGAGATAAAGTTACCTTTAAAAATTTGGTGTTTATTTGGCATTGATGAAACCACCTCAGGCCAAAAGAGTGCCCCATTTTCTAATATAAGTGACTATTTTGCAGTTACATTAAATGCAGTGAACTGATTTCTTTTATGTTATTCAGTAGTAGTGCAGCTCGGCTTGAAGCATTTTATATTTAATCCTTTTAATTTTAACACCACTCTACCTCATACTCAACACATCCCTGGAAGACTATGTATAGTATGTGCTATTCATATTCTCCTTATCATAATAGAAGACTTGTATGTTTATAACTACTGTCTACTGGCATCTTATGTTTGAATATTGTTTTCTTAAAACTTCTTGGATTTAATAATCATTGTATTTTTAATTTGTTCTTATAATTTTCCTGTCTCCATTTTAGTGAAGATCTTAGACGCTGGTTCATTCAACAAGAAATGGATCTCCTTCGATTTCGATTTGGTATTTTACCCAAGGACAAAATTCAAGATTTCTTAAAAGATAGCCATTTGCAGTTTGAGGCTGTAAGTGTATTTTTGTAGTTATTTCCAACTGTTTTCACCATTCATCCCTCCCTTTTAACCTAAGTGTTGGTACTAATGTGTGGAGTTCATTCTCTGTACATTTTCTTCCTAAGTTCCTGCCTGATTCAGTAGCTAGCGCACAACAATGAACCTTTCCTCCTCTGTGACCAGAGGAAAAGGGGTTTCTTAGTTACAAAGGCTCACATTTAGTTGCTCTATTAAATATGTGATTTATTAAAGTACAAAAAGGTTTAGTTTATAAAAGTTCATCTGTAACTAAAATCTTGTAGATCAAAATTTTAAAGCTAATAATGTGTTAAAGAAAACAGACAAGTGACAGTTGTTTGCAGGAGTGAAGTTTAGAGAAGGTAATACGATATTTTAAAAGTCAGTTGTCAGTACAAATTGTCTGATTAGTTTAAAAAATAGTTTTGCAGACAAATCTGAATGATTTACATATTGTAGTTATATAAAAAGAAAAATGTCTGGGACATATTTAGCAGAGATAAATATTGAGGATGGAAATAGAATTTATGTCTTTTAGGTAGACCTATGCCTCAGTGAGAAGGTAGAAAAATTCTGCTTTGGTAGATTTAGAGCAGTTGGATGGTAGCAGGACTGGTTGAGACTTTATTTTGGTGTTGGAATGGGTGGCTCGAGGACAAATAAAAAAATAGAAGTTGCAGTAGGTGAAAGACATTGTGTTGACAAGTGGAAGATGTACTCACTGTAGCAAGAAATACTGTGGGTTATATGAGTTGGTAGAAAGAGACTGCATGAAAGGAAGTGAACAAACATTTAGTAGACATTTAGTGTCTATTATGTGCTAGATGGGTATTATATTGTTGAGTTTTATTTCTCCCTCCACACGTACCAACCAGTGTTAGGAAAGATTCCTACAAGAGTCTCTTATACTCCTGCACATCTTGCTGGGTTAGTTAAGAATGAATGGTCATGACCACTCTTTATCCAGGCCGTTTCTTACAATTTTCTTACATTTTTTAACAAGTGGCTTCGAAGGATGAAGTGATATCTTCCTTAAAGCTGTTGGTTCTCAGTGTTCTTAGTTGTAGTATAAACCCATTGCACACAGACCATTGATCTGGGCTGTATCGTGTTGTCCCCATGGGACTGAGAGCAAGGAGAATGACAAACATGCTGGTTCTCTTGCTGCTTTCTGTGACGTGAGTACTAGAGTTCTTTGTCCCTGATGCAGGAGTCTTGTGTCTTCTGCCATTATCTCATAAACAGTAAATCTTACTGGCTTAGAAGGAGGGTAAAAATAAATTCCAGACTTGACTATCAACTATGTTATTTTGGATAAATTTTCTAATCTGTACTTCAGTTTCCTTGTTTTCAAAATGGGGATACAATTTCTACCTCAAATTTGTGAGGTTTAAATGAGATAGTGTGTGCAGAGTGCCTGGTATGGGCCTGGCATATATTTTAACTGGTACTATTATAGACGGTACAAAAGTAGCAGATGCCTGTATTTTGGAGAAGTCTTGAGTCAATTAGATTGAAATTAAACTATCTTGGGTCTTTTTGTTTTAGGAAATAGGAATTGATAAGAAATATATGCATAGTTTTAACAAGTGTGTTGGAAGTCAGTGCGGTTTTTAATATTACTCTAGTTGCTGCTAGTCTGTTTGGTTTAATTAATTAATAGCCTGTTTCACTCTGTAAGTCATTTGAGGTTCATTATAATAAACATATACATTAAAGTAAGATGGAGAAATATGGATAAAGTTGAAAGATTGACTGAAAGGAAAATTATTATCCATATTTATACATCCCAGGGTGGTCTTATACAGTTTCTAAAGGGAGCAGTAACTTTGGATTCTTGTGTGATTGTTTTGTGTTTTCTAGCTCAATGATTTTCAGTGGGGGGATAGGAAAAGGAGGTAGTCCTCCTAGGGGGGTTATCCACGTGGATGGAAGTGGAAAACATCATGCCTTATGTTTTTGAAATATAAACTGGAGAATGCAAAGCTTGATTGAGTGTGTTTGTGGCTGGTGGGGTTTCGTGGGAGATAGAACAAGAAAATATTCAGGGGGCTTGGCGGAAAAACCATTCCTGTGATGATAGATTGCACTCACTTTCCTGGCATAGACCTTTTGCCCTTTTGTTCTGGTAGTGGTAATTCCCAGCACATGGCATCCCAAACTGGTAATTAAGGGATTTGAATTCAGGTGCTCTTGACTAACTTGCTCCCAGGGCCCTGTAAGCTCTTCCCATTTCATTTTAGGCTTTCCCAGCTTTTACCACTTCATTATAGGAACGTGTGCAGTTTTATCACTTTTGTTACAATATTTAGTGTACATTTGAAAACTATTATATTCAGTCAGGCATTGGTGACTTATTATATTGTCACCAATTGGTGACTATTGGTGACTATTATATTCAGTCAGGTATTGGTGATGCTTTTAGACTCAGGACAAAGCAAGAGTTGGGGAAAAGTTATTAGCATTTGTTGCATAAGGTGGTCTCTGATATGTGACCTGCTGTGTAAATCAAGGTCCTGCTGCATAAGTTGAGTTAGAAGGAGATGATAGGGAGTGGGAAGCTGTGGGGCCAGCTTGGTTTCCTTGTCCCAGGAGCTGAATTGCTGGCACACATGTCTTAGAATCTGTCTGGACTTAAAGTGCTTGTGTGATACGTTTGTGTGCATTCCATTGTCTTTTCAGTTTCCTTAATGCTGCAGTGGTTTTTATATTGATCTACTTCTGTAAAATAAATATATTTTTATGTTAGGAGGAGAGGCAGTGTTATAACTAAGTTTCATCATGTTTTCTTTGGTGGAGAAATATGTACAGAAAAATGGATCATTAATTCTTGGCATTCTATTTCTGACTTGGGCGGTATGTTGATACTTTTTTAGTTTATTCTTGGGTTTCTAGTGGATAGTAGATTCTGAATCTTTATGACATAGGCAAAAAAAAAAGGCCTTACTATGAAGTGTTCAAAAAAGGAAAAATGGATATTTTTCATTCTTTGACTTGTATGTAAATAACTTGGATTTTAATCTGAAATTTTTAAGAAGGATTAGCAAGGAATAAGTGTTGCTGTCCATGGGGACCATTTTGGATCTCTCATTGCTGAGTTGATTGACTTAACCTTGGGTCACATTAAAGGTGAATGTGGATAAGGTTAAACAGATTCTGTTAATGCTTCTTCAGTTGGCCAGCTGGAGAAAGGTCAAGCTTTGGCAGCTGTCAGCCTTATAGATAAAGAGTTTCTGTGCTGTTGCATCCAGAGCCTGATAGCAACTTATTATTTATTTGGGTGCTTTTAAAAACCTCCTTAGCACAGTCAAAAATATTTTTTGTTGGTTTTGAAATACCAGTGGATCTATGGCATGATGCTTTTCATTAGAATAGTACAGAATGGCAGGGACAGTAAAGTTGTGCATCCTTAAAGATGTGGAGAGTATTCTGGTGTCATAAGTAAAAACTCCACCACATATTAAGAACTAATGTTGTTCACTTGTCGTTTATGTTCAGGGAAGCGCGAGGGCTTTTGAGTGAAGGCAGGTGAGGTTGGTAACTTCATTGCCTGGCTCACTGAAAACAAGTACATGGAAACTTTGAATTGTTTATTTTTGCTTATTTTAAAATAGTTTTTCTTATCCTGGACATGACATTTAAAATTTCTCATCCCTTGTGGTTTAAAACCCTAATTTCTTTTATCTTTGGAAATTATTTCATGGCATTCTTGGCTGGTAACTTCTTTTTAGTGAACATGAATTAAAGTTTAATTTGTCATTTGTTATTGAAAATGTCAGTTATGAATTTATTAGGAACTTTTGGATGCTCTTCTCCCATTAAAATTGGAACATTGAGTTTACATTGATATAATAGTTTTACGTGTATAGAATGTAAAAACTTTTAGTATTTTACTTGTCTAGCATTATTTCTGAGATGTTTATAAATTGGCCTTGAGGTTAGTCATGGTTTTCTGATCGTTTTGGCCCTTATATTGTTTTCATTGTTGATTGGTATAATTTGGGTTGTTGTAGCTCTTTTGGAATGTGCCTTCGTCATTGTGGTCTATTGCGTTTCTATCACTCTAAATATGAAAATGCCATTCACAAATATGTGTTACTCTCTTTATACCTACCCTCTGGGGTCTCCAGTTATTGTAAGCCTATTAATAAGTTGCCAAGCAATTTTAGTGTGGTGTTTGTAAAATGGAAAGCTATGTGTAACTTTATGTATCTTTTGACACAGAATAAATTTTAGCCAATAAAGTGGTGATACATAGCTGAGACAGGACATGCAGGTGTAAGAGTAGTCTAGAGAACACATGTGTTTGGTAAGCTTGGAGGTTTTTCACAGGACTTCTAATAAGCCATTGACTTTGACAGAAGTGGAAATGGAGCCGGGAGAAGAGTGAAGTGGGATGGTAAGACACACACTCTCCTCACTCCTGGTGGAAATTCCAGACCTTAAAGGAACTGAAGAGGAAAGGGCTAATAATTAGACGAAGGGCATTGAAGAAAAAATTATTCATATTACTTGTTAAAGACAGTAAGGAAGACTTTATCCAAGCTTACCAAACACATGTGTTCTCTAGACTACTCTTCTCTTGTACCTGCATGTCCTGTCTCAGCTATGTATCACCACTTTATTGGCTAAAATTTATTCTGTGTCAAAAGATACATAAAGTTACGCATAGCTTTCCATTTTACAAACACCACACTAAAATTGCCTGGCAACTTTCAAGGAAGGCCACTAATAGGGTTTTGTAGTGGGGAGAGAGATGAGCTCAACTTGGAATATAATAGGAACAAGTGGGGAGTTATATCAGGATCGAGTTGATGGAAAATTACTAAGAGGTAGGGTAATTCTTTGCCAAACTGACCTAAGGAATTTTGCTGAAGGCAGAACAGAATGATAAAATATTGAGGATGGTCAGACAAGTTGGGATTTCTTCCTTAACTGAGCTCACAGGATTCTTGCTAAAACTGAGTTAGCGGACTGTAGTCAAAAAGGTTTTCAGAAGCCTGACTAG